CCTTCCGAGTAGCCGGAATTACAGGCGCGCGCCGCCACACCCGGCTGATTTTTTTGATGTATTGTAGAGATGAGGTCTCGCTGCCCAGGCGGGTCTCGAACCCGCGGGCTCAGGCCATCCACTCACCTCAGCCTCCCAAAGGCGCGGGATTACAGGCTGAGCCACCGAGCCCAGCTAATTTTAATATCTTAAGCAAACTGTGTGAACACTAATTTTTTAAAAATATATTAATCTTTTCTAAGTAAATTCTGGTCTATAATTGAACAAGAACAAATAACAACAGTATTCTTATGTAGTCAAACAGAACTGTTTGAGAATATTTTTCTAAAATAGCAATAATTGATTAAAGTTGAGATCTTTCTTCTCAATATTTCTGAGATACCACATTACTTCAACACTCATATCTTTAAATGTAATCAACAGAATTACCTAAGAGGAACTAATCTTATTTAAAATAGTAACAAAACAAAAAAAAGGCACCTCACATGTAATACTATTAACAGTTATTTAATTCCTTATACAGGTTGGCAGACTACTTTTACCTAACAATTCACTGATTTCCCTCTCAAAGCCAGTTAATATTTATCATCTTCATTTTATTAGTAAAAATACTGGTTATCCATAAGATTAAGTAACTTAAGCCAACTTTTTTTTTTCCTGAGTCAGGATCTCACTCTGTCACCCAGGCTGGAGTGCAGTGGCACACTCATGGCCACTACAGTCCAACCTGCTGGGCTCTGGCGATCATTCCACTTCACTTCAGCCTTCCAAGTAGCTGGGACTACAGGCATGCACCACCATGCCTGGCTAATTTTTTGATTTATTGTCTCACCAACTTAAAGTCTCACCAAGTTGCCCAGGCTGGTCTTGTATCCGTGGGTTCACGCAATCCTCTCACCTCTGCCTCCCAAAGTGCTGGGATTACAGTGTGAGCCACTGCATCCAACTAAGCCAACTTTTTTTTTTTTTTGAATTGGAGTCTCTGTTGCCCAGGCTGGAGGACAGTGGCACACTCACAGCCACCAGCCTCGACCTGCTGGGCTCTGGTGAGTCTTCTGTCTCAGCCTTCCAAGTAGCTGGAACTACAGGCGCACACTACATCTGGCTTATTTTTTTTATTTATTGTAGAGATGAGGTCACTCCAAGTTGCCCAGGCAGGTCTCAAACCCGTGGGCTCAGGCAATCCTCTCACCTCAGCCTCCCAAAGTGCTGGGATTATAGGCGTGCGTCACAGCGCCTGACCTGAGCCAACTTTTAAATAGCGACAAACAAATAGCAAAACCCAATTGTACATGAGGACAGAGATCCTTACATTACACCAAATTGCCCCTCAGTCTATGAAAAAAGTGTTATCAATTATATCCAAACTATAAGTTTATAAACTTTATTAATTACTTTATTATATGAATTACTTATTCAGAAACAGTTACATTAGAAACCAGAAAGCCTACGATTAGTTTATCATACCAACACTCACTAGGAATAGTAGTCACGACTTCTCCAACTTGCAATCTGTACAATATTGTGGTTTTTCCTGCTCCATCTAATCCCAAAATTAAAATTCTCATCTCCCGAGTTCCAAACAAACTGGAAAAAATACTTGAGAAAAAACCACCTAAAAAATAATAAAAGGAAAAACATATTTAGTATCATTTTGTGAATGAGGTCCACGAAACATTTAGTCTTGTTCACTGAAAGCTACCTAACAAATTTAATATTTTATTTTCCTGGATGCATGGGTGCAAATTTTTACTCCCAATGGAATATATTATTCAACATCAAACAAGTAACTAGTGATGTTACTATGTCCTAGACACAGTGTTATGCAGGCACAGAAGAGGCACCAAACAATAAGGGAAATATGGCTCTGCCCCTGGGGAGCTCATTTTCTTCTTTCTTTGTTTTGTTTTCTTTTTTGCTCTATCACCCAGGCTGGAGTGAAGGTTGTGATCCTAGCTCACTGCAGCCTCGAACTCCTGGGATAAAGTGATCCTCCAGCCTCAGCCTCCCAAAGCACTGGGATCCCGGGTGTCAACCTGGCTGCGTTCTAATCAACAGAACAGAGACAATTTAGCAGACTTTCCTCACTACCCCTAAAAACCAAAGGGCTAGACAGGACAGTAGGGCAACAACATCGCTGCATGTGAAAAGCGATGACAGCAGGACCACCATCAGAGACTTCTCCACTAAGACACACACACACACAAACAGCACAAGAAACTGGGACATAGAAAACTCGCCTTAAAAAGCAAGCTACACCCAATGCACCACAAAACACTTCCAGTATGCAAAGTGCCCTACCCTAGGAAAGCGCTCGTGGCACAGCTCCTTCCCCACCCACACGAAATCACGGCCGACCACAGAAGCGATGCCGCAGCCAGGAGCTGCGAGTCTGGCAGGGGAACCCCGGGAAAGTCCACCAGCAGGGGCGTGCCTAGCCGAGGCCTTCCAGCCGCTCCCAGGAGGGGGTCGCGGACCCTGGGGCGCCACGGGCCTTCGTTCGCAGGGTGGAAACAAGTCAAGGAGTGCGCACCTTCAGATCGCTGGCGCCCAGGAGTTCGGGACAAGCCTGGGCCACATAGCGAGGTCTCGGCTCTTCAAAAACAAAAAAAATCAAAACATGAGCCAGGCCCGGGGACACGCGCTGGTGGTCCCAGCCGCTCGGGAGGCTGGGGCGGGAGGACCGCTTGCACCCAGAAGTGGGAGTTGGAGGCTGCAGTGAGCCTGGGGGACAGAGTGAGACACTGACTCAGAAAGAAAGGAAGAAAATGTCCTTTAGCTGGGCTCCCGCGGGGCAGAGAGTGCCCCGGCAGGCGCCGCGACAACGTCGCAGGTCCCGAACCGAGGCCACAGTTTGGTCCCAGCTGGAAACGGCCTCCCCGGCGCCCTTCGCCCTGCCCTGCGACCCGCGGAAGAAGCCGCTCTAGCCGGCAGCGCCGCGTCGGCCGCAGAACTCCTCTCCGGCCCTTCCCGCCGCAGCCGCCCCCTCG